GTAGCGATGTACGGAAGTGAGAGCTGGACCATAAAGAAGGCTGACCACCGAAGAATTGATGCTTTTGAATTGTGGTGCTGGATGAGGTTCTTGAGTCTCCCCTGGACTGCAAGGAGGACAAACCTATCAATTTTGAAGGAAATCAACCTTAAGTGCTCACTGGAAGGAGAGATCCTGAAGCTGAGGCTCCAATCCTTTGGCCATCTGATGAGAAGAGAAGACTCCCTGGAAAAGACCCTGATGTTGGGAAAGTGTGAAGGCAAGAGGAGAAAGGGACGACAGAGGACGAGATGGTTGGACAGGGTCATCGAAGCGACCAGCATGACTTTGACCCAACTCCGGGAGGCCGTGGAAGACAGGAGGGCCTGTCGTGCTCTGGTCCATGGGGTCACGAAGAGTCAGACACGACTAAACGACCAAGCAACAAAAATGAAAATCATGTAAATCGTGGCAGCAATTTTCTACAGTGTATTGTTCCTTTGAGTATGCTGCAGTTGACTAGGAAGGAGCAAGATGGACTTCTAGGAAGAGACGGCTTGCATCTCACAAGAACCAGGAAGAATGTGTTTGGCCACAGCATGAAGAACTTCTTGGGGAGGGTGTTAAGCTGAACTGGAAGGGGGAGGGAGACGCAAGCACAAAGGTAAAGACAAATGAAGTCTTAAGCACAAGAGGAGCGGAAGGATCACTTCTAATGGGGGTCAATACTAGGATTAACACTAATAATAATGTCCATACAAGGTACAAAGAAAAGCAGGCCACAAATCAGACCATCTCGGGTGTCTGTATACGAATTCCAGGAGTATGTGAAACAAACAAGAAGAACTGGAAATTTTAGTTCAGGACTAAGAACCAACTTTCTGATTTCTGACAAACCTTCATACTTCCATACTAATTCTATACCATTATCCAACCCACCCACCCCTTTAAAAAAAAACCATTTGAAACTTAAAATTAAACATATTCACAAAATTTTAAAAAATGACGTAACATTTCATAAAAATGTAACTGGCTTTTAAAAAAATAGCAAACCAAACCAAAGTTAACGTGAACAATGATGAACATTTCACTATCTTGAGCCCCTCTTGGAATTCTTCCCATTCATTTTCAGGCAACCAGGGAGCAAAGGGCCTTTTCGGCAGCTTCCCCCAGACTATGGAATGCCCTCCTGATTGAGATTCGTCTGGTGCTGATGCTGATGACATTTCGGCGCGAGGTCAAAACCTTCCTGTTCCAGAAGGCTTTTAATTGAAATAATATTAGCTGTGGATCTGATGGCAATATAAAGTGGTGCCTCGCTTAACGAGCGCACCGTTTAACGATGAATCCGCATAGCGATGCAGATTTTGTGATCATTTTTACGATCGCATTGCGGTGTTTTAATAGGCTAAACATTGCATTGCGATGATCGGTAAGCATTTCACTTACCGATCTTCACATTGCGATGTTAGGGAAACAGCTGATCAGCGGTTCAAAAATGGCCCCCTGCCCTTGCTTACCAAGGCGGCGAAAATGGCGTCCGGATGGGGAATCTTCGCTTACCGGTGAGTTTCCCCCCCATAGGAACGCATTAAACTGAGTTTAATGCGTTCCTATGGGGTTTTACGTTCCGTTTAGCGATGTTTCTGGATAGCGACGTTAATCCTGGAACGAATTAACGTCGCTATGCGGGGCACCACTCTATTTTAATTGTATTTTAACTGTTCTGTATTTTTATTGTATTTTAAATGTTGTAAGCCGCCCAGAGACCTTTGGGTAGTGTGGGCAGCACATAAATTAAATAAATAAATAAAATAAATAAATACATTAAATGAATAAATAAATAAATTTTATATATTTTGACTGTAAAATGGTCTTGCAAAAACACCTCTTGCTGGGTGTGAAGGACTGGGAATTTTAACTGTTCTGTATTTTTATTGTATTTTAAATGTTGTAAGCCGCCCAGAGACCTTTGGGTAGTGTGGGCAGCACATAAATTAAATAAATAAATAAAATAAATAAATACATTAAATGAATAAATAAATAAATTTTATATATTTTGACTGTAAAATGGTCTTGCAAAAACACCTCTTGCTGGGTGTGAAGGACTGGGACCAATCCGTTTAGACCAGAGGTTCCCAACCTTGGGTTCTTCCTCCCCCCCCCCAATTGTTCTTGAGTTACTGGCCACCAGCACGGCTCATGGCGAAGGCTTCGGGGAGTTCTTGTCCTTGAATATCAGGGGACAAAAGGTTGGGAAACCCTGGTTTAGACCCACTACTGTCCAGGTACAAAGAGCCCCCCCTTTTTTTAAAACACGCAGGCAGTCTCATAGCACAAGTACACATTTATACGTAGGCCTGGAGCGCATGGCAGAAACACAGGTTGTCAAGGGTTCAAGAATAGTTACCCATAATACTTGCTTTGCCTATATTGGTTATAGACTCCCCGTAGGGCCGTCGAGCCAGGACGGGAGACGTTGTGGGGCTGGGTATCGTCGGGAGAGATTCGCTCTCAGGGACTGAGGTAGATTCTTTGGAAGGATTGAGGAAACTTGGCTTCATGTGCTCGTAAGGTAAAGGGTTCGTAGTGTTGTACCAGTGGATTTGGACCGGGGAAATGTTGCTATAATGCTTCAGAATTAAAGGTTCTAGTCTATAGGCCTGGAAAGGAGAAGACCAAGAAAGAAGATTCTGAGTCAGAAGGAAACCGCTCATTTCTTGTAGGCTCTCAATATTTATCTAGACATGTACTGTTTTCTTTAACTGACAAAGCAGCTGTTCTCTTGTTAGATTCAGTTAAAGAACTGACTGATAAAAACAGTCAGCTGATCAAAACAGCCCAACCCGTTTTCCCCAATCTGGCAAACATCCAAACATGTTGCATCGCAAGTCCCATCATCCTCAATCAGCATCCTGGCTAGGGAGACCATGGGAGTTGGGGTCCAACGTATCTCAACTTTCCTGTGCTGAAGACTCACCACGGGATCTGTTGGATGAAAAATGTTGAGCAACCGGTTGCAAATACTTCTGGGTAGTATATGATCTTGACTTCCACTGTTCCCTGGACGGATGCCACGCAGGGCCAAAAACACAGCCAGCGGAGACCCCATACAGAAGAAATTCTCAACCTAAGGAGACATTGCATGTGATATTAACAGGCAGTGGGAAAAGGCAGCTTGTCAGCACATGTGGAGGACAGATGGGGGAAATGGAGGCTGTAATTTTATTGCCTTGAGACACCCGAGAACCCAAGGAAAGCCACACGTCACACATTGTACCTCTTTCCATCCTCAGAGGAAGCCGACATGCTCGCCCGGAATGGATTGCAGTAATAGTCAGGACTACTCTCTGCAGGAACATCCCCGTGAACAGGGTCCCCCGTGAGAAGTAAAGGGGGGATTGGGAACAAAGGTGAGTTCTTGGGGTGTATCTCACAGCAGAGACTGGCGTGGTCAGGACTGCCGGAGTAAGTTAAGAAGCCTGTGATCACCACTGTGATCCATCTCGAGAGAGCATCCCATAGAACTGGGTCTCATTTTTTGAGCACACAGACCACCAAGGAAACAGGAGAGCAAATTCTGCGAAAAATCGGACACGTGTAAATACGTTACCTGTTAATACAGAGCACTGCTTTATCTGAAGTCAGACCCTTGCACCTTCTAACCCAGAACGCTTTGTTCTGACCAGAAGTGCTCTTCACTTTATCCCACTTCCCTCGAGATCCTGGGGAGCAAACTGGAAACGCCACTACGTCCCCGTGGGCCAACTCCAGGGCCACACTTATTCCCCATGGGTCTTCAACAGGCCACATCAAAACTGAGAATATCCAGAGGTCGGTTTTTAAAAACTCTTGGGGTGGAGGAGGGACTGGCCAAAAAACAAACAAAAAAACAGGGAGGCTGGGCCCAATCTGAAAAGACCACCCACCCACCCACACGGAGAGATGCATGAAGGGGCCGTAGTGGCAATAATGACCTTGAGAAGCTTGGGTGACTCACAGGCCAGGTGACTGTCACTCCTCCTCTAAGAAACCTACTTTGGTCTAAGTCGAGACCCTTAAAATTCTTCAGTGCTGATCCCAAGGGAAACTGATCAATAATAATATACCATAATCTTAGAACGCCAGAGCTGGAAGGGCCCCTACAGATCATGGAATCCAGTCCCTGCCAAGGAGGCTCAACGGGGGAGAATCGAACTCCCAACCTCTGGCTCCAGAGCCACAGAACTAAAACAGTGAGCTATCCTGCAGCTCAACATGCCTTAAGTTTTCTTGTTCAAGTTGAAGTACAGGTGTTGCTTTTTTGAGGTACTGGATTTTTAATTAGTTCAAATAACTTTACACCCTGCAAGATGGATTGGGATGCAGGGGAGAAGGAAATTATGACAGCCAGGGTGAATACAATCATGCCTTCATATACTAGGGTTGTTCGTCAGCGGGGTGTCTGGCTAGCGGCTTCTGCCATAGCGGCAGCTCCTCTCTCAGGCGTTCTGTGCTGTCTTTGAGTCTAGTGCGACTTCCTTAACACAGCAAGGTGCTGGAGGTGAAAGCAGCCCTCACGGTCCCTGGTGCTTTAATACCTCTTCTAACTGGATGTGCAGGAAGAAAGTTAAAATCCCATTTTCTTTGGTTCACTTGGGGTCTGTCAGCTCCAGCCCAGAGCCTAGAGTAACAGCTACACACACCCCTAAAAAATCATGACAAGATGTAACTAAGAAACAGTGTTGTTCCAAGAGAAGAAAACTAAGCCATCTCGGTGACATGAGAGCAAATAGAAAGAAACAGTTGAGAAAGAGAGAGGGTGTCATCTCACACACGTGAACCCAGGAGCAGATGTTCGAAGCAGTAAAGCGAGGCTAAGGAAATGGGCCTTTGCACCAACCTAGTCTCTGGCTAAGTGCAGACAGGCAATTTCACACCTATGTCGGGCCCGTTGGTGTCCCTCAACATGTACCCTGGAAGAATGGAGGCCAGCTGCCCCACATGCTTCTGATGTTGCCTGCTATGGGGTGAACATGATCTGTCCCGTGGCGCTTCTGACGTGAACAGAGAAAATCATATTCTAGCAAAACCCAAACTTCCAAGGGGAAAAGTACCTTTGCCATTTGATGAGGTGATAAGGCAGAATATGGAAACACATCCATGCCTCTTTCTCACCAAAAGCGAGAGGCAGTGACTGAAATTGGTGCTTTTAGCTCAAAGCCTCCAGCCTGGGTTCAGATACCTTCACATCCCTGCTCGTTCATACCTTGAATTTTAAGGCAGGCGTCTTTGATATAGTGGATGTCTTCAATCCGTGCAACCTCTCTTCTATCTCCTTCAGTCTACAAAAGAACATAAAAACTGCATGAGCCCTTGGTTAGCATTTAAAGTCACAGCAGAAGATGTTCTCCTGAGGAAGGTTTGGACCCGAAGCTCCAGCGTAGTAAGGCAGACAGGAAGACACCAGGAATAAGTGCAGAGAACATTTACTTGCTGTACATATTTACATAGTGCTCACAGGAACATAAACATAAGCATTCAGCAGTCAAAGGGGACAGAACGTAAGCGTGACAGTCAAAACAGAACTGTGAGGGACACACCAACTAGCCTCTTAATTTTTACTACCTCCAACCAACCAAATTAGTGGTTCACCTCATGGTAGTTCATTCCACACGGCTGTGTCCTCCTTGTCTTGTAGGCAGTGACTAAATAAGGACCGCCTTCTTCCATACGAGCCTGCCCATCCTCTAAGATCAGGCCAGGAGGCCCTTCTGAAGGTGCCACCCCTGAAAGAGGTGAGGGGGATGGCATGGCGAAATAGGGCCTTCTCGGCTGTTCCCCCCCCCAACTTTGGAACTATAGAGATCTGCCTGGCTACACTTTTCGCTTTTTGGCGCCAGGCAAAGACCTTTCTGTTCAGCAAGCATTTTAATTAAAGAGTATTCTTTAGCTGGTCATATGAGCAGCAGGACTTACTAATATTGTTTTAATAATTGTTTTAATAATACAGTGGTGCCTCGCTTAGTGATCGCTCCGTTGAGCGATGAAATCGCTTAGCGATGGACTTTTTGCCATTGCAAAAGCGATTGCTTAGCGATGGTCCCTATGGGGAAAATTCGCTTTGCGATGATCGCAGGGAAGCGATCATGGCAAAGCAACCCTTTTTAAACAGCTGATCGGCTGTTTCAAAATGGCCGCCCGCTGTTTTGCCTCACTTAAGAGGCAGCAAAAATGGCGGCGCTATGGAGGATTTTCACTGAAAGGTAAGTTTTTAAGCCCATAGGAATGCATTAAATGCATTTTAATGCGTTACTATGGGCTTTTAAAAATCGCTTAGCAACTTTTTTCCCCGGAATGGATTAACGTCGCTAAGCGAGGCACCACTGTATAGGATATTTTTATAATATTGTCTATTTTAATGTTTTTAAAGTTTAATATTGTTGTACGCCACCAGAGACCACTGGTAATGGTGCGGCTAAAAATATATATTGTAAATAAATAAATAAATAACTCCACCTGCACTAACCCACTGTTAATTACATTTCTTCTTCTTAAAGATCTAACACCCTTTAGGTGAGAAAGGCACACTTTTCTGTATTTAAGAGCTACACTGTACGCCATGTAAATTAGTATAATTGGGCAAAACAAATATTCTAGATGCAACCTCCATGGCCTCCATTCTACTGGTCGTCTCAACCAAAGTACACCGACTGATTTAATTACCGAGCGGTATGCCAACACCGATGTAAACTTCGATTCCACAAATTTACTCTCGTTGGGATTCTCAGCTTCTGGGCTCGGAGGTGACGAGTGGAACACTTTCTTCCTGCATCTTGGTAGTTTAAGCCAGAGAAAGGGATCCCAGGGGTGTTTCTAGACATACATACAGAATTGGGACCTGGTGGAGCATTCTTCCCTGTGGCTCAAATCAAGTCCCTGTAAGATTTTTTTTTTTACCATATGGCAAGATATGCTCAAAGAATAGAGGCCTTCACCTGGGAACCAGATCAAGGAAAAATTTTAACCCCTACCCCCATGTACAGCCTTCCCCATGTGCTGGTTTTTAAGTACAGTAGTGCCTCGCAAGACAAATGGTTTTGGCAATGGTGTGTGTGTGTGTGTGTGTGTGTGTGTTGATGATTCGCAAGACAAATGTTCCTATGGACGTGCTTCGCAAGAAGAATGTTTTCTGTTTTTTTGTTCCTGCCTCATGTTTGCTGATTTTTAAATGTTTTTCTATGATGTTTAAAAAGTTAAAGTTTATTGATTGAATTTTTAAAAATCATCTACACAATATGTATGGCTTTAAAGAGCATTTAATAAACCCTTTGTAAACAAAATTTGACTTTGTTCTGACTTTTTTTGCTCATAGGAATGCATTAATTGGATTTCAATACATTCCTATGGGAAAAACGCGTTTCGCAAGATGAATTTTTTGTAAGACAACATTTAACCGTGGAACAAATTAAATTCGTCTTGCGAGGCACCACTGTATTTGTCTTACAGCATCCTCTCTAGCCCCTGATGAAGACTCAAAGATGTATCCAAGCATTGTATGTGTCACTATCTGGTAACAAGCCCCATTGTTGGCAAATTTACCCCAACTGGGGGGGGGGCACAACAGCCAACTGAAAAGGACAGAGCTGCTGTTCACAATCAAGCAAAGTGCAGCTGCTTTCCTGAGAGACGGCTAAATTAAGAGTCAAAGAAAGAATCAAGTTCAAATCAGATCTGGATTTATTGAGGGATTTTCAAGACCCCAGTCTCTCTTCAAGAAGAGAAAGGAAGAATCCTTTACCGTTGTTTGGTTAAGTAAAACTCTTCTAGCAGATGCTGCTCCTCATAACTCATCCACGTGTCCTCAAGGTCGTCATATTCCTTCTCAAGTAACTGTTCGTACAGTCTAACTGGATTCCACCCCGTCATGATGTCGTAGGTGATGACGCATCCCAAGGAATGGGACACGATGGATACTTTCCCACCCTTTTCGGTGAACTCTGGATTCCGAGAACAGAAAAGCATGTACAAGCGATTCAGCTCCTGCTGAAGGCCCTTTACCAGCTGTTTGAAAGAAGTGGGAGACAGAAAATGCAATTCTTACATTCTGCATGCCACTGTTCATTTAACTTTCATGTTCTTGCTGACCCTTGGCTTTTTTTTAAAAAGTCAACAGCTGTATCAGTGCAGAAAGACTTTTAATAGCCGACCTGATCTCCAGATCAGAGAGGACTTACGCTGCCTCAGTAAGTAACAGGATTCGGGTGATTAAAACAGAAGTTTCACGCACCAAAACTAACAAATTACCATATTTTTCCCTCCATAAGACGCAACACTCCATAAGATGCACCTCATTTTTAGGGGAGGAAAAAAATATTCTGGCAAAAAAATATTCTGCAAACCCAGTAGCAATCATAATTCAGTAATGTCATCTTTGATTGATAATAAAAAACAATTAAAAATCATTGAAAAGCTTTGTTCAACTTAGGTTAATCAAGTGTAAATAATCAAGTCTTCAAAAGCTATGTTAAAAAACATAACACAGAGGGGGCAAAGCAAAATTTCCCAGGTAATAGAGTTCTGTCATTAGGAAGCCACTACCAATATTGCCTTGTCTCAACAACTTGATATAATTACTGGTCGATCTGTGATTGGGACATCAGGGGCCAGTCTTAGTGGTTATGAAGGCAGCTCTTCATATAATCTGATCCCAGACCTAGAGAGTTCTGCAGTCTAGTCCTAAATATGTTCACTAACTCTCACTGATTTCCACAGTTTTCTCCCAAATAAGTGCACAAGATTCTAGCTTTAATGGCAGGCTATTTGTCTAATTGAACTTTGAAGGCTCTTTCCATGTCTGGTACAGGGTGGAAAGATCAAAGCAGGAGGAAAGATGATTACCTCTGTTTGAGGCCAAAAGGTAAAGGTTCCCCTTGACAATTTTTGTCCAGTCGTGTCCGACTCTAGGGGGCGGCGCTCATCCCGCTCTTCAAGCCATAGAGCCAGCGTTTGTCCGAAGACAATCTTTCCGTAGTCACATGGCCAGTGTGATTTAGACACGGAACGCTGTTTACCTTCCCACCGAGGTGGTCCCTATTTATCTACTCGCATTTGCATGCTTTCGAACCGCTAGGTTGGCAGGAGCTGGGACAAGCGACGGGTGCTCATTCCGTTGCGTGGATTCGATCTTACGACTGCCGGATCTTCTGACCCTGCAGCACAGGCTTCTGCGGTTTAGCCCACAGCGCCACCACGTCCCATTTGAGGCCAAAAGTGGGTCACAATTTCGACCCTGCTGGCCCCGTGGGGGGAGCCTCCCAAGGGTCCTGGAAGGCAGACTCAGACCCTTGGGAGGCTCCCCCTGCCCCCTCCGTGGGGCCAGCAGGGGCAAAATCGCCAGCTTTGCTACATAAGATGCACAGACTCCCCCCCACTTTTTTTGGGGGGGGGAAAGGCGTCTTATAGAGCAAAAAATACGGTAACCAGATACTGCATCTAGTTTGGTTCTGAGTTTGCTCTGCTTTCTTCTTTCTCTAATCTTGAGCTATCCTTTAAAGATTCTGGATTATAATTTTTGTATTGTGAAAATAATATATTTTATCCAGAAAGATGAATGATTTCCATCCATCAGGTTTTTAAATGTTCGTTTGATGAACCTGCATTTGATGAATTTATTTTCATGCTGCTTCATGCAATCAGACTAAAAGCAGAATTCCCTCGGAAAACAGACTGCCCTAGACTTTCTGGTGGCTTTCAAAAAGAGACGTCTTCCACAGTCTACTGAATCCTATCAGAGTCTTACACAATGATAGCTAAATGTAAAGACTCCAGATATAGGAAGAGTATATCTCTATCTCATCATAGGCATCCTTCAGTCTCGAGAGACTATGGAAACATGCTCTGAATCGAGGAGTGTCCTCTCCAGGGCATGAAGCCCGGGTAAGGTAATATGGAGGATAGGCTGTTACCCAAGCAGCAGATCCCCGCTCTCCACATTGCTGAAATGGCCCAATGGAAAGGCAAGAGCCAATACGACTGGTTCCAGCAATGTCGCAGGAGTTGGCAGAACGACACATGCTGCCTTCAGGACTCCGGCTCCGGGTTTTGCCTCGAATCTCTGTCTACTGGACCCTATAATCACAAGAGGGAAAGCCAACGGGCCAGGAGGAGGCTTGGAGTGGCTACTCCTAGATACACAATACTCTGGACCGACCTATTCCTATGCAGTCTGTGATGAGATGCTTTGGGGCAGACCAGCAAATAAACACAAGCAGGACTCCCTGCTTGACATGCATGTGAAAACCAATGCCAAGCTAGTTCTGTCTTTGTCCAGCAGGTTCCTTTTCTGCTCAGGTAGACACTGCTGTTTTGAAACACTGGAGGCTTTTGTGCTGCACGGCAACTCTTTGGCTGGTAAGAGTGAACATTGCTCTCTCACTCAGAACATACCTCACTGGCTTTTACTCCCCAGAGTTCCCTGCTGCAGGAATCGGGAGGTGGGGTGAGAGTGTTTACTCTCTCACCAAGGAGCTTTATTTATTGATTTATAGTTTTATACCGTGCCATCTGGCCTGGGGGCTCCAACTGATCGGTGTACAACAGAGAACTAAACATAATTAACAACCATAAAAACACAACGTAACCAAATGGATAGGACATCATAAAACAAAATAATCAAAATAAATCAGAATGCAGCACGGGGAAGGGGGAAACAGCCTTTTCTTCTACAGCGCACTTTGCTGCTGCCTCTGACAATGGCCTCTTAGTTGACCCACCCACCCCTGCAATCTCGCAGCCAGCCAACTGATCCTTGGCCCACTTCCTTGACCCCCAGTGAGATTAAGCAACATTTTGAAATGTGCAAGCCTTAGCAGAACCAATGTGAACTGACAAGGCAGGGGAGTTTGCAAAATCCGAATGGATTTTCTTAGAAGGTCCAAAATCATGCGAGGTTGTTAGAATGCACAAATCACAATGGCTATGGGATACCTCCAGAACCAGAGGCCATGTGTCTTTCTTTCAAATTACCAGTGGTTTCCCAAGGGGCATCTGGCAGGGCCCTCGAGAGGAGGTGCCTTTGGTCTGATGTTTTCCCTGCTTGCTTTTTGTCTGTCGGAAAGTCCCCCTCCTCAGCTTCAGTGGCTGTCCTTCGGTTCCAATCTCACCAGAGAGGGGGAAAAACTTCCCTATCTATTCTGTACACCACCTCTAAATTTATACATCCTATCATTAACTCCAGCCTTGCAAACTCAAGGCTGCAGCTTCCTTTAGCCAAGCGGCATCTAAGAAGCATCTGGCAGGGCCCTCAAGAGGAGATGCCTTTGGTCTGATGTTTTCCCTACTTGCTTTTTTGTCTGTCCGAAACTCCCCCTCCTCAGCTTCAGTGGATGTCCTTGGGTTCTAATCTCACCAGAGAGGGGAAAAACTTCCCTATCTACTCTGTACACCACCCATAAGTTTATATATCCTATCATTAACTCCAGCCTTGCAAATTTAGTAGCTTCCTTTACTAAGTCAATTCATCTCACCTCCTACCACTTTCCACTATTCCTAGCATTACTTCTTTTCTAGCGAGTCTCGTCTTCTCAGGATATGCCTCCCGCCCCCAAATTCCACTTCACACTGTGCAGCTATTTGGCCTTGTTGTGCTTAAAACACAATTCAACAGCATCATTAACTCCAGCCTTGCAAATTTAGTAGCTTCCTTTACTAAGTCAATTCATCTCACCTCCTACCACTTTCCACTATTCCTAGCATTACTTCTTTTCTAGCGAGTCTCGTCTTCTCAGGATATGCCTCCCGCCCCCAAATTCCACTTCACACTGTGCAGCTATTTGGCCTTGTTGTGCTTAAAACACAATTCAACAGCACGGAGAGAGAACGTCAATTCATCTCATGTTCAGCCTTTCTCTCCTCCTACCACTTTCCACTATTTCTAGTATTACTTCTTTTCTAGCAAGTCTTGTCTTCTCAGGATATGCCCCCTCACCCCCAAATTCCACTTCACACTCTGCAGCTATTTGCCCGTGTTGTGCTTAAAACACAATTCAACAGCACGGAGAGAGAGAGAACACACACAAATTTGTTCTTTGTATCCTTAGTCACATTTGTATCTCGCCTTTTCTTCGGGGAGCAAAAGGTGGGTCCTATTTAAGGAGAAAGGCAGGACAGAAATATTTGAAATAAAATAAAAAGGTGGTGCACAGGACTCTCTTCAGTTCAATTTATCCTCACAACAACCTGCAAGGTAGGTAAGGCCAAGAAATTGTGACTGGCTGAAGATCACTCAGTGAATTTCTTTGTCTAGTGGGGGGGGGGAATCTGACCCAAGGAGAACTTCAGCCATAGTCCAATACTATAACCTCTAACCCACACTAGCGTTCCATCTGGCTGAAATAAAATAAAAAGGTGGTGCACACGACTCTCTTCAGTTCACTTTATCCTCACAACAACCTGCGAGGTAGGTAAGGCCAAGAAACTATGACTGGCTGAAGATCACTCAGTGAATTTCTTTGTCTAGTGGGGGGGGGGAATCTGACCCAAGGAGAACTTCAGCCATAGTCCAATACTATAACCTCTAACCCACACTAGCGTTCCATCTGGCTGTTAACTGTCAACCACAATGGACCCGTTGAATTGATGGAGCTTACACGAGCGTTGACTAGCCATGCTGCTCCAGATTCCATGGGCTGACTCAAGTGGAGAGCTGGTTGAGGCACCTCATTTTCCCCGTTGAGGAGATCTGGCCATAGTACGTACCTGACAATGAACAGTTAACAGAGCACGGACCTTGTTCCAAATTGCTCCTATGCCAGAGAGCCCCCACAATGACTCAACCCTCCATTCTGACCAAGGAACTCAAGTATGTTTTGGAAAACCCAAGCTTTACGGAACCTATTATTTGGGCATATTTTCAACCAAACACTTCAAAATACGAACATACCTCGTCTCTGTAGAGGGGGCTTGTATAATACATTATGTCCATTGCACTGCTGTTAAGCATATCCCTTAAACCTCGGACTTTATCTGGAGTGATAGAGTCAACCGTGTCTAAAACAAAGAAAAGAAATCTAAGTGTCTGGCCGAGGTGAGATAAGTGTAGATTTAAATATGAAACAGTTCAGCACAGTATGGGCACACGTTGAATAGGGGCATTCAAATCAGTAAGCAAAGAAATCTCTCAAGTGCAGAGATAAAACTCAAGCATGCCTGTAAAGTATTCAGTGTTTCCACAACACAACGTTCTCCAAACTGGATCCCAAGGAAACTCGTGTGGTTCCTCAGAGGATCCAGAAGTACCTCAGTGAGAAGAGGAGTAGGGAGGGACAAACTTTCGAGGCAGACAGACCAACGGTCTGCTGTAGAGGGCTAAGTGATCTGAGCGACAGGCATAGCTGTCCGACTAAGGTGGTCCTGCCTGCGGCCCAGTGAGCATCGGGGAAATCATCACCATAAGCCCCAGTTCTTGGGCAGATGATACTGAAAGGGTAACCTGGGGGAATCACCCTTGAAATAGAGCCTGTGCAGACTGGGTTTGTGTGTGTGTGTGTTTTGACTACAACTCCCAGAACTCTCTAGGTAGCATGGCTCCTGGTCTGATCCGTCTACGATTCAAGTATTACAAATAGCATTCTTTTAGTTCATGAAATGAAACGTACCCCCATCAAGGGCAAGTTTGGATCTCCATTCAACGGGCAGGAACTCAACATGCGTTGCATGGTTGGAAAAATATTTTTCTTCTATTTTCCTCGCGGTGTCTCGCATCCTAAAGAAATTGGACATAAAGCATACAGCATGTTGAAAAAAACGGTCTTCCTACGATGTGACTGTTAATGATTCTCAATGTGTAAGGAGCACTCTTGATTTTTTAATAGTAATTTGGGAATGAGGCATCAACAGAGAAACAGAAACCCAAACAATGGTCCGCATGGCTTTGCTTTCTGTTTTCTAAATGTTATTCTCAATGATCTATAGAATGATCACAGTGAACCGCTGGAGATTCCAGCCTTTCTTTCATGACAGTGCCTGCATAACCACCCCACTGGCCCAAGGTGCAAAAACTCTGGGGAGCATGAAACATCTGCCACCAAGCGACACAGGACAGACAGGCCCTCCGCTGTAGGTTTTCCCCCAGCTACCTCAGTTGTGTTATCGGTCTCATGGCTCTTAAGATTCTGGATTACTGAGGGGAAACATTCACTCTGGCAAATGGGAGACGATGCCTAGGAGGTGCTGTGTGTTCTGCCTTAATTGGCTTTTGCTTCCAGGAACTTAGGATCTTTGGCAGGGCAGATGACCACAGCGGGAGCATCTCCAAGGCTAGAGGTGAGAAATGTGCAGTTCTCCAGATGCTGCTGGGAATAGAGCTCCCAGCCTACAGTGCCGGCTAGGGCTGGTCAGAATGGCTGCCCGACAAATTCCAGAGAGCTGCAGTTTGCCCACACCTGGATTTAATCTAGATCTGCCTAGTGATTGAGAAGAGACCACGTTAACTGGTCTGATGAACTTGCTAACTGATCCATTACTAGCTGATAAGCCGAATCGGACCAATGTCTATATGACAGGCCTATGGATACCATGGACTGTTCAGAAAGGCATATGAATGGATTCTATATGAAATATGAGACGAGAGTCAGGATTACCTGGTGGACAAAGAGCGAGGACTTGCCAGTGCATTCAATTTATAAGGAAGGCAATTTCAACATGTTAGAAATAATTTTCCTTACTATACGAGTTGCCCAGCAATGGAATGGTCTACCTTACAAGGTGGTAGATCTTCCTGTACTGGAGATTTACACGATACAGTGTAAACGATACCTCACAAGGACTAAAACACCCTCTTTTCTTTTCCTCTGGATGAGAACATATCCCTCTTAAATTAACAGACTTTGCTGTAAGATGTTCAAAGGTCTGCACTTGCTGATTAGCCACAATATTATTCTATCAAGCGTTCAGTTGGCCGTCTCTGCCGCTTCCTTCCCTCATCGGGTCTTTGTCACTTTGCTTCACTTCTGACACTCATATACGGTACTTCAGCTACCTTCTCCTATATGCCCAAAGCAGTTTAAGAGGTTTTGAGCCATTTGGATTCCTAAAACTGAGATGTTCAGCCGCTGTAAGAAACCTGTTGTTATACATTTCAGAATGAACAACAACACAGGACAAGGACCCTAGAAGCCTTCAACCCACCAACACGGCTCTCCTTTGCAATGGGATCTGAGCCCCAAGAGGGTGCAGAGTAAATGGGGCCTTTCAGCCACTTCACGCTTGCTCTCACTTTATATCTGGCCTTTTGCAATGCCCGGAGAACCCGAATGGCCAACGTTTATCTCTGCTGATGGCCTTGGGAAGAGGGAGCAGCTTTTTCCCTTCAAGGATGATTCCACTTTCTTAGTGCAAGCCAAGCACTTCAGGCATCTTATTATGTTTCATCTTTATTTATTAGATTTATTACAGGGCACCTTTTTGTTAAAATCATGCTCAAGGGGCCAACAATACAGGAAGGCTGGGGATAAAAACTATAATCAAGACATAAAAACAAATCAACTAAAAACAGAATGAAGACACAGTAATAAGAAACAGCCACCCGCTGTTAAAACCCAAAAGCCAGATTACTGTAAAAAGTCAAAAACCTATCCGAATAGAAATCTCCCTCCAACAATAAAAGCCATTGAAATTACAATAAATCCAAAATCTCTAAATGCTGCAGAGCAAGTTAAAAAAAATCTATCCAGGAGAATAAAATCATTCAGGAGAAGGCCAGCTGGCTTGGTAAGTTTTTTACACCCTGAACAAGAGTGTGCAGAAGAGTCAACAGTCGTGCTGGTCGGAAAGTGGGATGTTTGTTATTTGTGCAGAGCACACATCGCTTAAACAGCCCGGGGGGGGGAATAAAAGAAGCAGGAAGAGGGTGGGGGGGGTGGAGGACAGTGTAGAGGAAAGAAGAGAGAAAAACTAAGGAAGAATAA